GCCGCCTCGAGCTGAGCGCGGCGCGCTGAGCGGGCGCCGACGAAGGCACCGACCCCGGGACGCAGGGCCCGAGCCCTGTCGAGCGCCTGGGCTCCTGGCCCGCAAGCAAGCGCTCGGGCCGCGCGGCGGTCCTGCTCGAGCGGAGCAGGCGCCGCACCGCGCGGCCAGGCGAAGGGCCAGAGCCTCCGCCACAGGCACGGGCCCAGCAGCCCGGAGCAGCAGCCTGCGCAGGCGCTGCACGCGGCCGTCACCCAGAGGAGGGCAGCGACCGTCGAGAGCAGCCGGGGAGAGGCCCCGCTGCTCAACTCCACCGCCTGCCCGAGGCAGACGGTGGGACAGGCAGAGCCCGCCGAGGGGAGGGGGCAAACGGCCCCCTCACCCCCAGGCGGGTCTGCCTGTTGGGTGGACCAGGCGGTAGCGGAGGCCCCTGGTCCTGAAGCACAGAAACGGGGGCGGCGACGAGCCGCTCGCAGAGCGCGGCCCGCACCCCCCGAAAAAGAATGTCCCCCGCGCCCTGGAGAGCCACCTACGCGATCGCCTGCATAAGGCGCCCGCGCGCGCGGCCGAGGGGGGCGCTTTGGGGCTGAGAAGCTGCAGAGACAGCAAGAGCGCGGGTCGCAAGGAGAATAGAGAGGAGCATACATACATACATGCATGCATACCTACCTACCTACCTACCTACCTACATACATACATTTGTACATCTGAGTCAGGGTCCACTGCTGTGTATATTGATACTCGTGCGCATGCTGGAGCAGATGGGGCGCACATCGCGCCGAACATGTCGAGGGCGTTTCAGCGTTTGAAGGCAGTTCAGATACATTCGCACAGGGCGCTCGGGAAAACAGCTTTGATGTAAAACAACGTATCGGGGATGGACAGACCTCCATTTAGTAAAACGTGGTTTAATGAAAACGACCTGAGACCCAAACCTGGCGGGCGCAAGCCCGGAAAATAACGGCCACGGCGCCCTCTCGAGAACCGAAAACGGACAATTCAATAATCGACGTGTCACTGTTGGGGGTTCTGTCCAACCCCGAACGTAGCCCCGAACTTAATGTTTACGCACATGATGGCATATTCCACCACGGCAGGGCAAGCGGCAAACAGGTTGTCCTGTCTGCCTTCCACGAATCCTTTCTGGCAGGGATCGCTTGTGTCCTCTACGACCTTGCCCAGTGGGAATCCAACGCAGCCGGCAACAATCTGAATGTCGGAGTGGCTAAACGAGAGCGGACGAGTACACGCTGGTGCCCGAGCTGGGGAATCAGCTCCGCCCGGACACTCCTGCGGCACAAATGCACCACGGGGCGCGTTTAAGTCCAGCGGCAACATCCCCGCGCACATCATCCGCGCGTAGATCCTGCACAACAGATGTTGGCCAACCAGCGTTTTTCAGGGCGGAATGCGGGGCCCCATCAGGGCCGGTGGCGGCGCCCCTCTGAGAAAATTCTGATGTTCTGGAACGGTCCATGGGCATCTGGCGCCATCTTGAGCAACGTGTTCCTCGGGGCCGGTGGGGGCGGGGACATCGTCGCTACGCGCTGCAAGAACCCCAGGGAGAGGGGCACCTTGATTCTTGAATACTGCCCCCAACTATCAGCGAGTAATTGGGCACGCGCGCTTGCCCGTCAGAGAAGTGCCGGACTGATGGATCAATTACTTGCCGAATGGCAATGTGCCGCCCCGCCGCTCTCCGCGCGCGGGACATATCTCGCGCGCGCTAGATGGCCGCGGCGTTCTGATGGGGGCAGCGACTGCTGCCGACACTGCAGCTTCTCTTCGCAAAGCAGCTTCGCGCCGCTCGCAGATCCCACGCGCGCGGGCAGCAAGGTGCAGGTCAAAGGCCGGCTTGTCGTGCCATATACAAAACTCATGAACAGTCGAAACATTGCTGAAAACAGGGCGCCCCTTGATTGCCTTGCTGGCTTCGCGAAACCTGCCTCCTCGCGCCGCCCGAACCAGTATGGGACGACGTGCGACCTTCTTCTCTGGGCTCTCCATTCCACGCTTTCAAACATGCTCCCGGACACAGTGCGCGGCGAAGTGCGCGTCGAGCGCGTTGCCCAGACCGCCTGGCGCAATCATGTTCGAGGCGGTGGTAGAACCAGAACAACTCGATGCTTGGCGATCCCGGTGGCGATCGGAGGCGATCGGAGTAGAGCCTGGTGGGGGCCGCGGTCGGGGTGCGGGGGGAACGGGGGCGCGGTCGGTAGGCTTTGGGAGGTCGGCGGCTTGCCGCGTCGCGCCAGTCCTGGGGCGCGGGTCTAAAAGTCCTGAGCGGTAAGTCTGCGATGAATCCTGTCCAGACGCCCGCAGCAGGGCCACTCAGGGCCCTCCATCTGACAGCGGGCGCCACCACCCCAAGGAATTTCACCGGGGAACGGGAATGAGGATGGGGAGAGGGAGGCGAGGCGATTGGCGGTTGGCCTCTCGAAGCAGGTGGACGCATTAACCCTTGGCCCCCCGATCTCTAAAAGTCCCCTATCATGATCAAATTGGCTTTGGGTGTGTCCGCCAACGCGCGCTTCGCCCTCGCGCAGATACCGCGGATCTCATGGATGCATCTAGGGCCAATGTGGACATTCATGTGGACAGCGAACTTTTCGCCCCGCGCAGATGCAGCGCGCAAGCGCAGCCAGGGATGACGGCCTTGAACTCGTATGCGTGCCATGTTTCGAGATGCTGCTGGGGGGCGAGAAGCAGGTTGCCGTCTGCGGGCGGCGCGCCGCAGCGCGTGCCAAACGCGCGGCGCGATCGAAGCTCACGACGTCAGCGCGGAACGCCACCCTCCTCGCCGCGAGACCCCTAGATCACAAGGGGCCTGGAATTTACGGAGAAGAGAGCGGAGATGGTCCGTTTCACATCGGAAGCTGGCTTGATTCGAACGTACAGAACCGAGAACAACTGGGATATTCCAAGAGCAAACGCCGAGCCGGCAGGTCGGGACGCACGGGGTAGTCGACGCGTCGGGGAGGGATGGGGGGGCGGGGGGCTACATGCAACGCGCAAAAGACGCATCGTGATGCGCTGAGGAAACAGGCGAGGCAGACAGGACAGCCACCTAAGATCCGCCAAGCAACGCATCATCATACGCAAGAGAAGTTGCCCTCATTCGCCTTGCCTCGCGGATTACCAGCATCGCTGACCTGATGCCATGAACCCTCCCATCGCGCAAAGGCTCGACGAGCGAGGCGCCTGGCCCCTAACCAGGCCGCGAGACTTTCCCAGCGTTCACGTCGCTCGGCCGTATTGGCCTCGCAGTATTTACATTGGATCTCCTAAGCTGCGACGTTCCACTGGTTGGGCTCTTCCTGGGCGGCGGCGAAGTCCTCGACCTGACCAGACCTCCCCGCGCACTTCACGACGATGTAGATGTCCCGCGGCGTACCGATCATGATCTCACCTGTGAGGCCATCAGTCCACAACTTGCCCTCGCTGCTCCATTCTGGATGCGAACGAGTACGGTCCAAAACCGGTTGGTAGATGCGGCTGAACAGGCCCTGGCGGTCACGGGCATCGATCGGCAAATCCTGGCGGATCCTCAGCTGATAGACGCGTCCATCACATGGGTCGCTCCATCGCAGCGAGGCGGGGTTCGCGCGTTCTGAGAACTGGCGGGCTGAGACCAAGGAGCTAGCTGAACACAAACTTCAAATTCTGGGCCATCTTGTGGCAGATCGGCTGCGCGCCCTGCAAGAGGATCTGGTTCGCCTGCAGGAGCGTCGAGAAATGCGAGTCACGCGCCGCTCGGCGCACTGGGCGAGGGAAAATGCCAACGAACCGACCATCGGATTCGCCAGCGTTTGTGGACCATTTCCCTGGGGAGCCGGCGCCATCGATCCAGTCGCCGTCGACGCGCGGCCCGCGCCGCTAGAATGTGAGTCCTTCATCTGGTTCTGTAGGCTCTCCATCTTGATGTCCACCGCGGAAGCCGCGGCAGTCGAGCTCGACCTCGGAAATGCGCGCGCCGACGCTCTGCAGGTTGTCGCCGTGCTTGTAGCTCTGACCGAAAACAATTGATCTCTTGCGCCATGGACTGATCCATCTTCGCTTTGCTCGGGCTCGCGCCACGCTTCTCACCCATCGCGCCCTGCATCCACGACGGCGGGCGATCTGGTTCGGCGCTGATACTGCCACCACTGCGGCTTCGACTGTCTCGATCCTCAAAGCTGTCCCACTCCTCAGAGTGGGCCGTCTCGGAATAGGTGACGACCTTCTCGAGGGGCTCGTGCTGTCCTTCCGAACCTTGTTTCGCCTGGCCTTGCCTTGCGCACCGCGGGCCATTGCAGCTCGAATGGGCGGGACTGCGAAAATTGCCTGCTGCTGCTCGACGGCTCGCAACGACGATCGAATGCGCGCAACTGCTGTCGGCCAGGGGCCTTGCGCCAGACCTCGCGGCTTGAGCCAAAATGGCTACGAGGAGGAGGGGGCGCATAAGCAGGAGGAGGAGGAGGAGGAAGACAATCACGCGGCTAGTGAGGGAGGCTAACGGTTGGCCGACCCGGCCCTAACCCGATTCCTCGCGGAAGAGCGCGGGCCGATCGCGTCGCCCGATCGCAGACGACAGGGATGCACCTTGGCCCGCGCCTCAACATTGCGGCAACATTCGGGCACGCTGCAAAATCCGCTCCTTCTCAAAGAAGGTTTCATGGGACACAGGCGAGAGACAGCACGGAGACTGCATGCACCGCGAATCCGCTCCTTCTCAAGGAAGGTTCCATGAGACACAGGCGAGAGACAGCACAAAGACTGCACAGAGACTGCATGCACCGTAAATCCGCTCCTTCTCAAGGAAGGTTTTGCACGCAACGGCGAGAGACAGCGCAGGGACTGCATGCGCAGTGATAATGGAATTGTCCTCACCCACCAGTACAAGATGAGATATGCGAGTAAAGGCCCACTCCGGACTGCCCAATCATGGAGATGTCGCCGCCAACAGCCGCTGCCTCCAGGAAGGCCTGTGTCAGACTGGCGACGGCGCCACCAGCGGTCGCGGCCTCGAGAGGGGCCTCGGCGCCAGACACCTGGCGGATCTCCTCAACGGCCTTGCCCTCGATCAGATTCTGCAACGCGGCCTCGCAGATGAGCTTCTCGATTGGCGTCGAACTCGCCAGCGTCTTCAGCTCGTGCGGGCACTTGGCCACCGCCGCGTCGCGCGCGCTCTCGATGTCCGTCTTGCAGACGGGGGAACGTCTCCGTGATCTCCCCAATAGCTTTGTCCTCGATATGTTTCTGCGGCGCGACCTCGCAGAAGGGCTTCACGATGACCGACGGGCTCGGCAGCGTCATTGGCTCCTGCGGGCGCTTAGCCGCCTCCGCGTCCCACGCGCACTGGGCGCACTTCTCGCGCTCGGACTTGTAATTGATGTCGGGGAGCTCCTTCGTGATCAACTCGCGTAACTCCTCGTCGGCCTTGCCCTCGATGGGGTTGAACACCAGGATTTCTTTCTCGATCTTCGTGTTCAGGCCATGCGCGATCGCCGCCGTGGGCTCGCTGACGAGATGAAGGATGTTCATCCCAGAGTTAGTGCTCGGTTCCTTCTTGGGCTGCCTCTACGCCTCGTTGAAGTACGCTGGCACAACGGCCACTGAATGGTTGACTTCCTTGCCCAGGTTCTTCTCGGCGGTCTCTTTAAAATTCGTCAGGGACATGGCAAATACCTCATCGGCCTGCATGTTGTTGGGCTCCCCTTTCACATCGACGTTGGTGAAAGGGTTTCTTGCTGTTGTTTGCGATCTTGAACGGCAGCAGCTGCATGTCCTTCTGCACCGTGTCCAGGGCATCGGACGCATTGTTGATGAGCTCGCGCAGGAAGACCTCCTTGTTCAAGTAGGAAGTGTTTTCCATCAAACCCATGAGCTACTGGGTGTCCATGGCCTCGGAGGGCACCTGCTTGGCCATGGCATACTTCGCGAAGTACTGCTTGCCACGCCGTAGGTGCCGTAAAGGGTGCCAATTGCTCCGGGCCACCATGAGGCACCCAGGCGCGCGCCGCTCGCGGGGACCAGGGAGCGAGAGGCTTGAGCCAAAATGGCTTGAGCCAAATGGCTATGGGGAGGAGGAGGAGGAGGAGGAGGAGGAGGAGGAGGAGGAGGAGGAGGAGGAGGAGGAGGATGGGGAAAGATATGAGACGATAGCTCTGGGAAGGGCATGGGAATGTTGCGGGTGACGGTGACGATGATGTTGATGATGAGGATGATGATAATAATAATGATGATGCTGATGATGAGGAAGACCAGGATAAAGGGAGTAACAATGAATGGTAACGGGGGACAGTGTCATGTAGATGCTTGTAGACAGAGCCCACCTTCTCTCGGTTGAACAATCACGACTGCAGCGCGCGCCGAAGGGACACACCTGAACGCCTCGAGCAAACAAGCGCCTTGAAATGGGACTCCCTTTGCCATGCGCGCACATGCAAATTGCAAACTGCTGCGCCTGAGTTGCTGCCCCTGTCCACCCTGCCCACCGCATCGGTCTTCGTGCTCCCGTTGCAGAACGTAGAAGCCCTCTTCGTGGCGCTGTAGAGCAGAGGTGGGCTTATGCTTGACGTACGTCGGGAACTTCGGCTTAGCGTGTCTTACAAGCGGATAACGTGTCGCTCCGCTCCGCGGGGTGGGAGGCTGGGAAAGGCTCGGGGCGATGACGCTCGGGGAAAAAAACGTGAATAGCGTGTCGCACCAGAGCGCGGTGGGCCAGAACCGGCGGTGCGTCGCGCTATCCCAAATTCCCGACCATGCGTCCGTTTCACCAAGAGGGGCGGAGGCATGTGGGTCGAGACGGAAGGGCGGATGGGCACGTGGAGGCGTGAGCCGAAGAGCAGAAAGGTGCAGAATAACGTCGCTGCCGCGCGGAGCACTAAACAGAATGACAGGGAGAAAGAGGGCGGGGGGGCGGGGCGGGAATGCCGACGCGAAGCGAGAGGGACGGCAGGGAGGTGCAGGATCAAGGATCTGGGAGCCCACAGCAAGAGGGGGGAATGCAATCATGCGCGTAGCTCGGCAGAGATCTCAAAATGGAAACAGCGCTCCTTTCGTGGACCTTTCTGATCTCCGTCCGGTGGCAGGCCCAGCTGTGGCCACACACGCACATCCCAGGACAGTGAAACGTCTGGGTTGCAGTGTTATATCGCTTTCGCGCTCTCTCACAGCATCTCCCATCCATCTCCACCTTCAGGTCCACCTCCTCCACCTCCCCCTCTTCCGTTCTTGCGCCTCGTGCTTCTGCTGCTGCTGCTCATCCTCCTGTCTCCCCTCTTCCTTCGCCTCGTGCTCATTATCTGCCCCCTCCTTGTACGTAGTCCTTCACGTGTTTTCTCTTCCTCAGGTTCATCCTCCCCGCTCTCCCTTCTGCTCCTCTTCCTCATTTTCCTCATCCGTCTCATCCCACCTCCACGTCCGTCTAATCAACATCCTCGTCCTCCTCCTGCTCCTCCTCCGCGTCCTACTTCTCCTCGTCATTCTGCTTTGCCTCACACACGCACCTCCTTCTCATCCATATCCTCGTCCTCCTCTGGCTCTGCCTACTCATCTCCTGCTCGGCCAGATCCTGCTCCTCACTCTCCTCCTCTTCCTCCTTCGCCCACTCCGCCTTCTCCACTGCTCGCCCCCCCTGCTTCCCGCCCGACTCCGCCTACTCCCCCTCCCGAGTTCCACTGCCTCATCCACCTCTGCTATTTTCTCTTCCTCTCCTCTGCATCTCTCCCGGTTCCGATGGCCACGCGAACATGTCGGCCCTGGCTCCGGCGAGGGGCCCTGTCTCTCAATGCGACTGCCTGGAGACTTGGCGCCGCCACCAGCGGCTGCCAACATTCAGCCTGGCACAATGGCAGTAACGACTGTACAAGGAATGTGGCCTTACGCGGTCGATGTGTTCGCAGGCATGGCCCGTAAGACCCCCCGCCATCTTCCCTATTATCCTTGTCCTCTGCGTCGTCACCCTCGTCAATTATCCTCAGCATAATTGCCCTCTTGGGCTCGATCCTTTCGCATGATCGAGACCCTCACTGAGACCCCGCCCTTCCGTCTGTTGTTCTGAATCGTACGGACAAGTCACTGGTTCAGCTTCCAGCGTCAACGCCCACGAAAAGATTGAAATACACAACATCGCGGGAAACATGATTTGAAGAGCCCCTGATTCAACATGGATTGAATTGTGCTGCGACCGATCGTAGAATAATCTCGATTCAATTCAATATAATATGGATTTGATCACGCTGCGATGGGCACATACAAATAGCCAGCCTAGAACAAAACCCGTGTCAATACGGATACGCCAGAGTAGACACTCACACATGTATACGCAGATGTACATTGTGGATCATACGATACATCCACACCGCCTAGTTTCCACACATGGTTGGTATGTGACAAACTCCAAGAACAACTGAAGACGAAATGATGGCCACTGAACCGGACACTAAACGAATGCTTCTGATAAGAGTGCTTACGGATATCGAGAATTACATTATTGCGCATCTGGAATTAGTCTCTGCACCTCCTACCTGCAGTCACGAATCTCACTTACATCATCCTCGCCATAGTCGCCGGCATCTGGGCCTTGATGATGGGCGTCGTCGTTCTCACGTTCTGTCGCCACTTTGAATATATTGTCGGCATCCGCCTCGTCAGCTGGCACACATCCAACAAATGCTGCTTCAGTGTGCGCGCCAGGTGTCAAACAACGCAACCTAACAGGAAGGAGGCTCCTGGCAGTTGCACCCGGTTACCTCGCAAGCGTGAAAGGGAACCTGCGGGCTGTCGAGAGGGGCAGAGTCGAGAGAGAGAGAGATAAGGCACATCCTGCCCAACCCCTCACCTCATCATGCCTCCTGTTCCCCCGCTTGATTCATATTCTCATCCTATTCAAGTATGAACTGCCTGATCCTCATTGTCCGCATCCCTCTTTCTCCTCCTCGTCCACCTCCTATCGCTTCCTTCCCCTTGTCGTGTTCCGCACGCAGGCCCATGTGAAACTGATGTCAACCGATCAAGGCCCGCATGGAATGTCAACCGTCTGCTCAGATCCCGCAGTTTTATAACATGAGTGTTCCTCTGTTCTACACACGCATGTACGCGACACTCATGCGACAGCTGGCATCGCATGTACGAGCGCGCGCGCGTGCGAGTTGCCGCATGTGTACTTCACAATCCCGATGCGAGAACATGCGCGGAGTTAGTGGCACGACGGATCTGCCGACTGTCCACTCCGCTGGCCCCCGCCTTCCCTGGGGTGACAAGGCGTGTGAGATGATTGGCAAAAGACCGCCCCGTTCCCCCCCTCCCCTGGTGGACAACATCCCGTTCGAGGGGTGGACAGGGTGGGTTGGAGCTCTTCTACGCACTTTTTTTTTGTTCGGCGGCCCGCAAGGAAAAGTCCAGAGGGCGTGTCAATCAACGGCAAAGGGGCGCGATGCCAGATAATTGGAGAGGGCCAGGCCACAAAAGGAGGAAGCCGCCAAGAGGGCGCCAACCCACGCACGTGCAACATGTCTTCTACGCACCCACGGAGCAGCATAATCGACTCTCCGTGGCCGCCAAGATGCCCAGGATGCTCTCTAAGATGGCCCTCGGGGCCCCACCACACAAGAGAGGCCTCAGGAACACCGAAGATAGCGCCAAGACAGCCCAAGACGCCGAAAGAGGTCCCCAAGAGGCCCCCATACAAGAGGGCCTCAAGAGGCGAACGCCAATGATGTTCCCCAAGTGTTTGCATGAGTTTCGCGTTCTCGCCTCGTCGGACGTCTGGCAAACCCAGCGCGGCACGAGATGCCCCCCCGACTGACCCGAGACGGCCAAAGAGACCCCCCAATAGGGTCCAGATACGGCCCAAGAAGCCCCCAAGACGGGCTCCAAGAGGCCCCCGATAGGGTCCAGATACGTCCCAAGAGGCCCTCAAGAGCCCCCAAAGAGGGACCCAAGAGAGGCCCTAGAGGGGGAACCCGCAGGGACGCTGGAAGCCTTCCCTCAAGTAAGGCCCCAGAGACCCCCAACAGGACCCCACGAGGCCTCCAAGAACACCCCAGATGGCCCCCCAAAGCCGCCAGGAGCCTGGGAAAAGATCCCAAAGGCGGCCCCCTTGGCCTCCACGAAGCACCGCGACAGACGAGGAGGAAGATGAGGACGAGCCAGCATCGGAAGCAACAGATTTCCTCTCCACGGACCAGGTGGGATGGCGCAAGCCTCTTGAATCAAACACCTGGGCCCGCAGTGAAACCTGCCGGAGGCCACCCAAGCCTCACGAAGGATCTTTGGAGGCCTCCACAAACTCCTCGTCAAAATTCGCAATGTCCTCCTCTTCCTCCTCCTCCTCCTCCTCCTCCTCCTCCTCCTCCTCCTCCTGCTCCTGCTCCTCCTCCTCCTCCTCCTCCTCCTACTCCTCCTCCTCCTCCTCCTCCTCCTCCTCCTCCTCCTCCTCCTCCTCCTCCTCCTCCTCCCCCTCCCCACGCCGACGACCCTTCCGACGGCAACTCTCGAGCATGCTGCCGCGAAGCGCCGTGAGCCCGCACGACGGTTCCGGCGCGCCGTGCAGCGGCCGGAGAGCCGCGTCGTGCTCGGTGCTCGAATGCCCGCACGAGCACGTCGCGCCCGCTGGCACGTAGGTGAACTGCCAGGATATTTTCATCAGGGCCCGATCTGCGGGCATCTCCTCTTCCCCCCACACTCCTCCATTCCCCGTTTAGCACAGGAGGAGGAGGCGGAGGAGGAGGAGGAGGAGGCGCAGGAGGAGGAGGAGGAGGAGGGACGAGGAGGAGGAGGAGGATGAGGAGGACCAGCAGCAGCAGCAGCAGCAGCAGCAGGAGAAGGATGAGCAGGATGAGGCGAGAGAGGAAAAGCAGAAAGGCTAGGGCGGTCGGATGGAGCGGGGGGGGTGGCGCGGCCGCGGCTCGGCCGCACTGGCGGAGCTTCATGCCGCGCGCCACCTCGTCCTCGTCCTCCTGCCTACGGTCGGCAACTTCTACTCGGCGTGACACGGCGGCGGCCCCGGCAACTCGCAGTGCCTCGTGAGCGGACAGCGTGTCGCTTCGCTCCACGAGAAAGGAGGCTGGAAACAGCCTGGGACGCTGATGCCTGGGAACTGGGAGGGGAGATGTGAGCGTGTCGTGCCGAGGCGTGCTGGGTCAGAACCAGCGGGGCGTCACGAAAAACCCAAAATTGATAGCGCATCCGCCCTTCACAACATACCTTTTCCCACTATCCCTCCCCCTATCCGTGTCCAGCTCCTCTTCCTCTGCACGGGCATCGCGCCCTCACGATTCGGTTGCGCGTTTTGCCCGAGGGAAACCGTTCCTCCTTGTCGCCCTCCTCTTTTTGTTCCTCGCTGTCCTCCACCACCTCTCCTCCTCTGCCCGTTCCCTTATCCCCTATATGTCTTCACATATGTGCAGCAAGGTGGCGTCCGCACAAAAAGGGAAGAAGAGAACAGTGCGCGAGCGAGCAGGACAAAGGTCAGGCGAAGGTCCTCGTGCAATTCATCTGGGGTAATTGCGGTAGCCCAGCACGGTCCAGGCCCCTCCGTCTCCTCCTCTCCCTCATCCTCCACCTTCCCCTCTTCTTTTTTAGCTCATGGACAAGCTGCCAGCGTCGAGATCCCGTGTCCTGGGACCCCTCGACGAGACCCGACTGGTCGGAAGATTGGCGCGGGGACGTGCAACGTCGGGAACGGAACATCAACGTTCACGACTCCCGGAACAGCCCGACCACCTGAACCGACCCTGGCCACGCCAATCCTGGGAGCAGGATTGGTGCATGCGTCTTTGAGCCTGGAGACGGTCTCCACCGATCGCGGGCCCGGGGCTTGCCTGTGGCAGTATCGATCTGGCTGCTCGCTTGTCTCGCCGCAAGCTTTCGGAATCGTGCCCAGGAGCGCCAGGCACCGTGGACACTCCCAGGAGCCGGTTGCGTCCACATCCAGCACTGCAGGTCCCTGGGCGTGACTCCAGAGCGGCGCGCATGGACACACACACACACACATCTGGCGGTGAAACTTCCTCGCTCGCTCGTCATTTGCAGGGGCCCTTCCCTCTCGTCCCTGTCCCCGTTCCCTTCCGTCACCGCCCCCTCGCTCACGCATCCCCTGCGCTCGGGAGCAGCTGGGACTGCTGCTTGTGGGCACCCCTAAGCCCTGCCACCTCCGCCGCCCGACCCTCAACCCGTGTGGTACATGGTACATACTAACGGCCCCCCCCCTCATCCTTCACACCTGCCATTCCGGCCGGACTTCCGTACAATTGCCGGAAGCATGAGCAAAACCACCGTTTTGTACAAATGTATCGCATGACGCCGCCTGGCTGGAAACCGAAACCATCCCCCTACACAAAAAAAGAAAATCGTTGCTCGCGTGCTGGTGACGCCCTTGTCGCTGTCGCTCCTGCAAAACGTACGGAGTGCAGAGACACGGGCGACACCTGCGCGCGGAAGCATGATCCTGATGGCCCATGCCACCAGCATGGGCCGCGTGGGACGCGGGAGCCGCAGGGCCATGCTGGAAACCAATTTCCGTTGCACATCGGCCCCGCGGAGCAGCCCGGGGAGTGCAGAGCCGACCAGACAAACCAACCAACCAACCACCAAACCAACCATCCAACCAACCAACCAATTAACCGGATCCCCATGTGCGCCTATATGCTCTGGGCACGTCCCGCTGTGATGAGTGTTTGAGCGGGAGCGAATTAGCCTGTGGTGACTGAGCGTTATCTAGCAGTTACCTTTTGGGGTGCCCAGGTGACGCGTGTGCTACACCGCGATGGTCATGGGATTCCAAAATAAAAAACGTTCATGGGTACCAAAACCAGCGTTTCTCTTAAAACATGCCCGCGATCAAACTGGGGACGGGCGGATGTAACACCCCATGGCGGCTCCCCCACTAGCGTACTCACTTGCTGCGTATTGTGTATATATATATATATGTTGTAGCCACACATACATACAAACATATATAATTAATGATGTACATACACACAACAATCGTACTTCGAACGTGGCGACAACTTCACATCTCGCAGCCCCCCAAGGATGGCGAGGTCGAATTTCAGTCCGCGTAGGACGTCACTGTGCTGGACCCCCCAGCAGGCCTCGAACACGGCGACAACTTCACAAATCTCAGCCCCCCAGGGATGGCGAGGTCTAATTCGAATCCGCGTAAGACGTCACTGCGCTGGACCCCCCAGCAACCTTCGAACGTGGCGACCGTTTCACAGATCGCAGCCCCCCAGGGACGGCGAGGTCTAATTTGAGTACGCGAGGGACGTCGCTGTGCTGGACCCGCCAGCAGCCCCCGAAAATGGCGATGGTTTCACACATCGCAGCCCCCCAGCGACGCGTAGGTCTAATCCAACCAGCCCTCTGGGCGCCGGTGGTTTAGAGAGTTTCCTCTTCCACCCCTCCTTCTTCCCTTTCGGGGAGGGGTGTATCACTGTTCCCTATTAGTATACACCCCCTCCCCCAGGCGACTGGGAGCCAACCCAGGTCCATGAGGCCCCCCACCACCATCCCTTGTAAAGAAACAATGCAAAACACACTCTGCCCCCACCATCCCTTGTAACAAGCAATACAAACACACACTCTGTTTCCAAATTCGGAGCATGCGCAGCGAGACCGATGCGGCCTCCCCCCACCACCCCTGTCAACAAACATAACAAACTACACTTGGCGGCGGCGGCGGCTGCGGCGGCTACGGCGGGGGCAGCGGCTGCGGCGGCTGCGGCGGTGGCGGCGGCGAGGGCGGCGGCGGCGGCGGCGGCGGGGGCGGCAGCGGCGGCGGCGGCGGTGGCGGCGGCAGCGGCAGCGGTGGCGGCAGCGACTGCGGCGGCAGCGGCTGCGGCGGCGGCGAGTTGGCAACGGGGGCGGCGGCGGCGGCGGCGGCGGCGGCGGGCAGCGCGGCGGCGGCGGCGGCGGACAGCGGCGGCGGCGGCGGCGGCGGCGCGGCGGCGGCGGCGGCGAGCGGCGGGGGCGGCGGCGGAGGCGGCGGCGGCGGCGGCGGATTGGCCCCCAGTAGCTGGCCATCCAACGACGACTGCTGCATATGCTGCGGCTCGGGCCAGGCTCGGGTGCTACGTATGTGTCGGGAGGGCGGGTGGGAGTGAGCGAGACGGCTTGCTGGCGGGAAGGGCGTCTTGACCCCTCCCCCTACCCCCTCCCCATGGACCTGGACAAAAAAGGTCCGCGAGTCGTCGGAGCGTCCAAAACAGCCTCGGCGAGGAAACCACAACCATTGGTCTTACTATGGGTTTGGCCCCATTTTGGCCTCCCGGGGGGGGCCTAATTGAAGCTCCCCTCGTGTTTGATCGATCTCCTCCAAGATGGCCCCAAGAAGCGCCCAGGAGGCCCCAAGAGGTCCCAATATTGCCCCAATATGGCCCCAAGAGGCCCCTAAGAGGCCCCCAGGAGGCCCCCAAGAGATCCCCAAGAGGCCCCAAGAGACCCCCAGAGGCACCCAAGATGCTCCAAGAGGCCTCGGCGAGAATGCCCAATCTTTGATTTTTACAAAAAAACATTTAGCCACATGTTGGCCTCTTGGGGGGGGGGCATTGATTAAGATGACTCCGAGAGCGTCTGGGAGCCCCAAATGACCTCCAAGATGGCTCAATATATCCCAAGATGTCTCATCATGGCTTCCTCTGTGTGCTGCCCACTTCCCTGATCGAGGCAATCCCTATGGGCATCGTTTCTGGATGGGCTGGTGGGGATTCGCGAAGCGTCAACAATTTGAATATGCGTAGGACGTCACTGTGCTAGACCCCCCAGCAGCCCTCGAAAGTGGCAACAACTTCGCAGATCGCAGCCCCCCAGGGATGGCGAGGTCTAACTCGAATCCGCGTAGGACGTCACTGTGCTGGACCCCCCAGCAGCCCTCGAAAGTGGCGACAGTTTCACAGATCGCAGCCCCCCAGGGATGGCGAGGTCTAATTTAAATCCGCGTAGGACGTCACTGTGCTGGACTCCCTAGCAGCCCTCGAAAGTGGCGACAGTTTCACAGATCGCAACCCCCTAGGGACGGCGAGGTCTAATTTGAATCCGCGAAGTACGTCACTGTGCTGAACCCCCCCAGCAGCCCTCGAAAGTGGCGACAGTTTCACACATCGCAGCCCCCCCCCCCCCTCCGAGGCAAGACAGGAGGAGGCACGAGGGAGGCGGGAAGGAGAGAAGGAAGGGCGGAGACCACAGTACACTATTCAAAACGCATACCCAACCAAGGAGGGTTGGGAAAAACACGCCCACCTCAAACAGACAGCGTCTCTTGTGAGATTGTGAGATCTCCCCGAATGCTGGGCGCCAACGGGCAAATGTTCTACCCCGTGGTTGCTCCCCCTTGTGGCGCCCAAGAGCTATGGTTGCGACATCGCGAACACCACGCGGCCCTGAACAAGACGCGCCTACATTCATAAAACAAGCGAACCGCTGGAAACATCCCCACAATCTGGGCACGAACTGGTAAGTGACCTATCCCCTGGCGGCACCCCCTTGTGTTGCCTAAGTGCTATGCCTGTTGCATCGCGATGATTATGATCGTGAGATGGAGAAGGAGGGATGAGGAGGGAGTGAGTAGACGGTGGCACGACACGGATAACAAGAGCTCACGACGTGGAAGATGGGAATACGTTCCGCAACATCCTCCACGAAATGTGCGACTGCCTGCACAATGATCCATTCTGACCGCCGGACCCTTGCTCCGCACGCGTTCGACGGAAACTGGCGGCAATCAAACTGGCCAAATCTGCTAGCACATCGCTTCGATTTTGACTTTCGTCAAACGTGCGTTTGATTCGTCCACGTCGTTCAAACCCACATCTGAACCAAAAACGCCGGTTTCTGCTGAAACATCCTTTCCATTCGCTCTTAAACTGGCCACGACGTTCAGGTGACGCTGGCGGTGTGCTGCCCGCGCCGAGGCGAGAGCGCCGTCTGGACAGACTTCCGGCTATTGTAATTACGGAAGTTCGGCCCGCATAGTACCTCCTCATCCCCTCCTTCCTCCTCCTCCTGTTCCTCCTCCTCCTCCTCCTCCTTTCCATCGCCCCTCTTTCTCTTCCCCCGCATACCCTCGCGCTCCACACCCGCCCTCGAGAAGCGGCAGCCGTCCTGGCTGCAGAGGCACCCGGGCGTGGTGCAGCGCATCTTGCCCCCGACGACCTCGCAGGGGAGCCCAGAATCGAATCGATAAGTCGGATCGGCGATCGAAATAAGTCGGATCGGCAGAAATCGGCAGCCGAGTCGGGAAAAGTCGAATCGGCGGAAATCGGCAGGCTAGTATGCGTCCAATGAGGTATCGGAGCCCAAATCGGAATCCGAAATCGAATCGAATCGGCATCGGAATCCAGCGGAGTCGAATCGAATCGAATCGGAGGATTCGAAACGAGCCCTGACCTCGTGCGTGTGGAACGCGTGCCCGCAGAAGCAGCGGGTCGCCGCCGTGGCGCGGCCGCAGGGCACCGTGTTGCTGCCTCTGCACGCGGGGAGCCGCCGCCGCCGCGCGCCCCGCGGCCCCCCGGGAGGAGCGAGACGAGCGCCCTCTGCCCCCCCCCCGCTCGATGCCCTTGATGATGATGATGATGATGATGATGATGATGATGATGATGATGATGATGATGATGATGATGATGATGATGATGATGATGATGATGATGATGATGATGATGACGATGATGATGAGGCGGAGGAGGAGGAGGAGGAGGATGAGGAGGAGGAGGAGGAAGGATGAGAGGAGAGGAGAGGAGAGGAGAGGAGAGGAGAGGAGAGGAGAGGAGAGTAGAGTAGAGGAGAGGAGGAAAGAAGCAGCCTTGCTGCTCTTGGTCTGCTCTCCCTCACCGAGGTCGTGGCGTCGCGATGTCTTCACACCGGGCGTCTGCGCCCGCTTTCGGGCCTCCTGGGGGGGCCCTCACAGACCGATCCGCCGACGCACTGTCGGCGTGCGCGAGGGGTCTGTCTGCTCGAGTCGTCGTCTCCGCCAGCCGTCGGAGGAGGAGGAGGAGGAGGAGAAGGAGGAGGAGGAGGAGGAGGAGGACGAGGACGAGGAGGACGAGGAGGGAGGAGGAGGACGAGCACCCTCCTGCTCACACGTGCCAGCGAGAGCAGAAACCAGCAGTGCCGAGATCGAATCGAAGGGAAGCCCCTTCCAGCTGATCCCTCCCCCTTCGGGGAGGGGGGGGTCTCCTGGGTCAGATTCGCAGCTCCCGGGGCGGGGGGGGCGTCCCGGGTCAGATGCGCATCCCCCCCCCCCGGGGTCCCAGGAGCGCAGAACCAAGACATGCCAAGAGTGGTCCGAGAGGTCCCCGAGACGGTCCAGGAGGGCCCCCAATCGCCACGCAATCGGTCCCAAACGCTTTCATGCCCTCCAGGCTGCCCAGGAGACATCCAAGACGCTCCAACTGACCTTCGAGAGCACTCCCGAGAGGGCCCCAAGAAGCAACATTCAGTGAATCCCCTGAAATTTCTGAAAGATTTGGGTGTTCTCGCCTTCTCCGCGTCCCTCCGCTCCAAGACGGTCGAAGAGGCCCCCGAGATCGCCCCAAGACGGCCCAAGAGGCCTTTAAGAGGGGCCCGACACAGCACGAGAGGACCCCAAGACAGCCCAAAGCGCCTCCAAGGCTGCCCCAGAGGCCCTCAAGGCGGCTCCAAGAGCGTGCCCAGACGGGGGACCCGAACGGACATTTCGAGCCCTCGCCCCCGAGAGGCTCCAATAAGGCCCCAAGAGGTTCCCAAGAGGCCCCAGAGGAGGCCCACAAGAGGCCCACAAGCGGCCCCCAGGGAAGCCCCAAGAGGCCCCCAAGAGGCTCCCAAGAGGCCCCCAAGAGGGTCCTAAGAGGCCACATTAATTCTCCCCGGAGGCCTCCAAGAGCCTTCCGAAGAGACCCCACAAGAAGCACCCTTGAGGACTCTGGCCCGCGTCGTCGTCGTCGTCGTCGTCGTCGTCGTCGTCGTCGTCGTCGCCGTCTCCCTTCAGGGTCGGCGGCACTGGCCGTAAGGCCTCTGAAATTATCCCGGCAAAGCAACCTATCAGCGATGTGTAGAAGCATATCTGAAAGCATTCCCCTTAAGATTCAGATGAAAATCCAGTTGTCGAATTCTGCTGTTCTCGCAGTCGTAGTCGCATTCGCGATGACAGTCGCAGCGGCAACGGCAGTCGCAGTCACAGCCTCAGCCTCAGCCTGCCTCCTCCTCCTCCTCCTCTTTCTCCTGCTCCTCCTCCTCCTCCTCCTCCTCCTCCTCCTCCTCTTCCTCCTGCTCGTCCTCGTTCTCGTCCTCCTCGTCTTGCTCGTCCTCCTCCTCCTGGTGCTCTCTCCTCCTCCTCCTCCTCCTCCTCCTCCTCCTCCTCCTCCTCCTCCTCCTGGTGGTCCTCGTTCTCCTCCTCCTGGTGCTCTCCCCCCCCCTCCTCCTCCTCGTCCTCCTCCTCCTCCTCCTCGTCCTCCTCCTCCTCTTCCTCCTCCTCCTCCTCCTCCTCCTCCTCCTCCTGGTAGTCCTCCCCCTCCCCTCCTCCTCCTCCTCCTCTTCCTGGTCGTCCTCGTTCTCGTCCTCCTCGTCTTGCTCGTCCTCCTCCTCCTGGTGTTCTCTCCTCCTCCTCCTCCTCCTCCTCCTCCTCCTCCTCCTCCTCCTCCTGGTGGTCCTCGTTCTCCTCCTCCTGGTACTCTCCCCCCCCCTCCTCCTCCTCCTCCTCGTCCTCGTCCTCCTCCTCCTCCTCCTCCTCTTCCTCCTCCTCCTCCTCCTCCTCCTCCTCCTCCTCCTCCTCCTCCTGGTACTCCTCCCCCTCCCCTCCTCCTCCTCCTCCTCTCCTGGTCGTCCTCCTCCTCCTGGTCGTCCTCCTCCTCCTGCTCGTCCTCCTCCTCCTCCTGCTCGTCCTTCTTCTCCTGCTCCTCCTGCTCCTCGTCCTGCTCCTGCTCGTCCTCGTCCTCCTGGTCTTGCTCGTCCTCCTCCTCGTCGTGCTCTTGCCCCTGCTGAAAATGTGGCCCAGGAATGGGAGTTCTGGGAAGTCGAAGAGCACGAAGTTGCCTACAGTTGGCTACGGGCATTCAAAATGTGGCCCGGGAATGGAGTTCTGGGAACTCGAAGAGCACGAAGTGGCCTACAGTTGGCTCCGGGCACAGTTGGCTCCGGGCAAAATGTGGCCCGGGAATGGAGTTCTGGGAACTCGAAGAGCACGAAGTGGCCTACAGTTGGCTCCGGGCATCCAAAATGTGGCCCGGGAATGGGTTCTGGGAACTCGAAGAAGCACGAAGTGTGTGACTGTTGCATCCGGTTATTCTAAATGTGGCCCGGGAATGGCGTTCTGGGATCTCGAAGAGCACGAAGTGTGTGACTGTTGCATCCGGGTATTGAGAATGTGGCCTGGGAATGGAGTTCTGGGAAGTCGAAGAGCACGAAGTGTGTGACTGTTGGTGAAAAACGAGCCCGGCACCTGCCGCCCGGCAACTCCCAACACCTGCCCGGACCCCCCTGTGGAGTGATCTGCTGCTCTCTTTTGATCCCACTAGAAACCTATCAGTCTTCGCTGTTAGGTAATAATGGAAAAGATCAAGTTCCAGCCGTGATTTTTCACACTATTGTCATTCTTGTCGCAACGTCGGACCTCTCTCTAAGTCCCGCCCCTCTGCGAGGCAGGGACATATCCATGACCGCCGCCTGGGAAGTCGATCTCTGGGGACCTCGGCAAGCGGTGGACAGGGCTCTATTCCCACGCCATCAGGGTTCGAATCTATCCATATCCGCCGCCTGCCGAGGCGGTCCTCCTGGCGCTGGCTAACGGGGGCCGCAAACATAAACTTTGGGCGCTCCACGCGGATTTCTTGGATCTTCGCTGGATCCCCCTCCCTGGCACGCGGAGCGCGCCAGGGGCGGCGCCCGAGGCGCCACCGTGGCGCTCCAGTGCAGATCCCAGAAATCCGCGCGGAGCGCCAGAAATTTATGATCACGCCACTGCTTCCGTTTAGAACTGGAGGGTACCGGCCTGGAGCTGCTCACAACTGCGAGCCGGGCGGGCAGCTGGAGGAGGAGGAGGAGGAGGAGGAGGAGGAGGAGGAGGAGGAGGAGCAGGAGAGGAGGAGGAGGAGGAGGAGGAGGAGGACGTGAGGAGGAGGGGGGGCCCCGGGAGTGGGGGCCCGAGGCGGGCGCGGCGCGCCCCCCTCTCTGCTGTGCAGCTCTGTGCGCGCTGGGGCACGGCGGACACGCCGACGGACGCGCGGCGCGCGCCCCCTCCCCCTCCTCCTCGTCCTCCTCGTCCTCCTCCTCCTCCTCTCTCCTCCTCGTCCTCCTCCTCCTCCCTTCCTCCTCCCTCCTCCTCGTCCTCCTCCTCGTCTCCTCCTCGTCCTCCTCCTCGTCCTCCTCCTCCTCGTCTCCTCCTCCTCCTCGTCCTCCTCCTCCTCCTCCTCCTCCTCCTCCTCCTCCTCCCCCTGCAGACGGAGCTGGGGCGAGGACAACTTCGCGGGAGGATGCATCGAGAGTCCATGAAATCCCGCGGCCCTGGAGGCTGTCTCGGGCGCCTCGGCCTCCTCGGAGCGTTCTGGAACGCTCTCTGAGAGCGTTCCGGAACGCTCTGGAACGGCCTGGTCCTCGTTCCAGCCTCGCCCGACCTCGCCCTCCCTGCTGCGCGACTCTCTAACACCCGCTGCGCGCGCGGGCCACGCGTCGAGGGTGGCGCGGCGCACCCAGCCCTCTGTCTCTGCTGTGCGGCCCTCTGTCCCTTCTGAGGCGCGGCCCACGCGTCGAGGGGGGCGTGGCGCGCGACGCGCGGAGCGGAATCTCCTTCGCGCCCCCGACGGTGACCTCAAAAAACAAAACATCACACCGACGCGGTTTGTTTGCCAGCATCTGGACGACGCTCTGTCCTCTGCCAGACTGTTTTGTCCCGGCTGATGGCTGGTAATGGTACAGCACGCAAGAGGGTATATATGCTAGCATGTGCTGGAACATGCGGGTAAGACGTCGTAGCATGGGAACAGCAGCCCCGATCCTCCTTGCCTCAGCTAGGGTCCCTGGCATTTGGGCACACGCTGCAATTTGACTTCCACCGATGGCCCAAGCACGGCACGAGCGGAGGCGCTGCAGGCCCCTCCCTTCGCCGCTCCCCTGGCGCGCAGAGCGCGCAGGGAGGCGGCGCCCGAGGCGCTGGCAGAGGCGCCGCCAGGCGCGCGTGAAGAGGGGCCCGGCGCCGGTCCGAGGAGTCTGGGAGCTCATGCGTGTGCCCTTGCCTGTCCTCCTGGCGGCGGCGTTGCCGCCGAGGCCGAGCCTGGGGCGCTAGGTGGCGCCCGCCCCGCCCCGCCGTCTGTTTCTGCCTCGCGTGTTCCTGTTCAGGGTCTTCCTCCCCCTCTCCCCTCCCCCTACCTCTGCCGCAGGGCTTTCGGCGCACGATTGCTTTGGAAAGCAACGCATACTGGGAACACACGTGCGAGACGTTATCCGCCGACCCCTCGAGGTTCGCCGGCGTGTGAGATGTTCCCTCTCCCCAAGCCCC